GGTTCCACCTCCTTTTGTCACTAATGATTAACAAGTTAATAGTGTTATTCCATTTGAGGATTGAAGTTCTGAGAGGAACGAGACCTAAAATTTCTAGATTTGGAATGTCTTGAAGTTCTTATTTCTTTTAGCATAATAAGTAAACCCCACTGATAATACAAAAAATTTTCTTTGAGATATTGAGGGCAAAAAGTTAGTCCCTTGCAACTAGTTGCTACTTGCTAACGGGAATTGAATTAAGCAAATTTACTACTTGGTAAACACATAATTACTCCTCAAATTAAAATTAAATTAATAAACTTCAAACGACTTATTTAATCACATTGACAAGAGAACTACACCGACAAACTTATATGTGTGTGTATGAATATTTCACTTTTCATTAATCTAAAAGAGGAATTTTTTTATTTTTTATATAGGAATCTAAAAAATGAACTTTAACTATGAAAACATACGACTCTAATCAATGGGGTTCTTGGTTGATGTCGGTAAAAGTTGATTCCATAGAGTTCTTAGTGATTATCTCGGAATATTTTCCATGTCATAACCAACGGGCAGTTCACCACTTTTGCCGCACCAGAGATTGAAGAGCAATGGAAAAAGGATCTGAAGATGAAGAAGTAGAAGAAAGGAATAATAAAGCTGAGGCTGTCCGTGAAATCTGATTCTATGCACGCGTTTGAGTTTCTGGAATACATCAGTTAATGTCATTTGTCAACATCGTCTGAATGTTAATTTGTGGCCATCGGGGTTTGATAGGATAGGATCAAGAAGATGCCGGAGCCTATGATCAACTTTATTCGAATCCGTTTTCTGCAGAAAAAAGTCAAAACGATTTTCAGGCTCCTGATTTCTTCCAATCAACCAGCAGCTTCTTGAATCAACTCTCTCACTTAAAAATAATAATAACAGTGTATTTGGATTAAAGAGAATTTATATTTAAATCAAATCTTTCATTTAGATATAAAAAAATTTATGAATTTAGACCAATTCTATTTTAGATTATAATTCTTTTATAATTTCAAATTCTTTTGATACTAGTCATTTAAAATTTTAATAACTTTAGACATCTTGTTCTCCTCATGTTTTAACTATTAATACCTATATGACTCTTGTATTGTTTCTTATTTCTTATCGATTAAAAAATAAAAGTAAACTCACATTATTTTTAATTTTTTCATTTTCGTTTCAAATTTCAGCTCATCTTTCCTTTTCATTTGAAATTTTTAAATTATCCAAATGAAAAATTTTAAATATATGAATTTCAAATGTGATATTTGAAATGCAATATTTCAAATAAAAAATTTCAAATTCATCAATCCAAATGCTATGTAAAGCATTTTTTTTGAGGGGTTAAATGTTAAAAATATAAAGTATTTTTAATGTTTTAATGTATAACTAACGTGTTTTTTAACACCCTAAATAAATAAATTATTTAATATTTATTTCTAAGAAAAATACTCTATTACATAAAGGTAAATATAAAAAGATATTGTAAGTTTGAAAATAGTTAACTAATTTATTGAGAGTACGTGCAGTTTGGTTAACAATTCCTTACACTTTTTAATGGGAGAAATATAATTATTTTATTTGTTTATATATGTAATTAAGATGTTCTAGTGTGAGTTATTTTGATACCCTTGCTTAATATGATTGTCGATCGTATTTTACATGAATGGTGATGGTGAATAATCGTGGTAAATGTGTGGTATCTATTTACCCAAAAAAAAAAGGTGTGGTATTTGGCCATCTTAATTAAAATAGCTCATAGTGATAAGGATAGATTTAAATTATATTTAAAAATGATTGTGATATTGCAGTGATCTATATAGATATACTTAGGTAGAAGTTTGTGCTAATATATTTCCTTTTCTTTTTTCTTTTTTTTTTTTTTGTTTGTTTTTGGATGCCATTCAGTGATCGAGCTCGTGTCACGAAGTTTACAAGCACTGAAATAAACCTCGAAAGCACGAAGTAACTGGCAGTGCTAATATATTTCTAATTGCATATATAAATTTACTTGGTTGGATCGAATTGCTATCAAGAGTTGGTGATAATTAATTAATAATATACTCACAATATAATACCAGTATATATAATAATAAGAAATAAATATGAGAGTTAAAGTGATGTAATTAAGATATTTTATATATCGTAAGTTAATATGATATATTCTTTTATTTTATATGATTATTGATATATAGTATATATTTCACATGGTAGATGAATGGTGATCAATAATAACTCAAGTGAAAAGAATAAGTATTCAAGATTCAAATCCTCATAATGTTTTTTAAAAAAGAAAAGAAAAGGAAAACATGATTGTGATAATAGAGTGATCTAAAGATAGAAACAGAGGTAAGTTCTATCAATGGTACAGAAAAAATGATTTTTAAACCCCGTAAAAAGATGACTTTTCAAATCAGTTATGGAATCAGTTAAATTTTTTTTTTCGACATTTTAAACCGGTTTAGAAAGTTCTGAAAAGGAACTCTTCTAGACCAGTTTTTTATTTAATCAATCTAGAAAGTATTAAGCCCAACGGTATTAAAAATTGGATTTGAATGGCCTATAGACACGTCATTTGTACTACTTGCAAACCTGCCTCTGTTTTTTAAATTGTATCCTCGATCCAGAAATGATGCTTTAATTGATTATTTTTCTACCAATCTATTGAATCAGACCTATCATTGGGTTCATATGTCTAGGTGCACAGACTGCATGAATGGATGGGGTTGGTATGAAGAAGTGATGATAATTAATAGTACTCATAATAGTATGATATAACAATAAATATTAACAAATAAATATGAGAATTAAGAGATGCTATTAATCGACATGCTACTGCTATGATGATATATACTTAAATTTAATATGATTATTATCGATTGATATGGCATGTTACGAGGCGCAAGAACGGTGATAAGAATGATTGTGATGTGCCATCAGGAAATATATATATATATATATATATAGCTCAAGTAGTGATAATAACAAAATGTGATGAGTCGCATAATATTCAAATCTTCAAAATATTTAAAACATGGTTATGATATTGTTGTGATCTAAAGATATAGAGATAATAATGACACGTTTCACTTGCCAAATTTTACACACTCGCACATAATTGCACTGACACATGTTCACGTGTTGGGATCCATCGAGTTGGCATGAGAATGTTATGAGAATAGTACACATAATGTAACAATATATTAGCAAATTAAATAAGTAAAATAACTAATTAAATTTAGCGTGAGTGGTGGCAGCTCTTGTTCCTTAATAAATGGTTAGATGTTTAAATTTCAACTCTTGTATATGTAATAATTTAATTGAGAAAAACTTTTTCATTTTTCTCAATTACTTTGAAGGAGATATTAACAAATAAAATTAGAGTTATTAATTTTTTTTATTTTTCCAAAACTAATTCATATTTATATAATTTATACAACGATTTGCATTCAACTAAACTAAGCATTGCATTAACTCATCATACATTGAATCATCCCACGTACAGCTTATACAATGCACTGAATAAGTAAAGCCATATATAGTCGTCGACTAAAATTAATTGGTTTGAATGACCAATAGACACCATGTTCTTATATACTATATCATATGCTGTGAATTTGCAATTGATACATAGGAATGGCATATGAATATTTCTTTCTTTTTTTAATTAATCTAAAATTTTAAAGAAATTTGCTATACTAACAGTTACAGCATTGAGAGAGATTCGTGGTTGATGTTGGTAAAGTTGATTCCATGGAGAAAAACAATTCTACATTATATGAATGATCACATGTGTCGATGCAGAAAGATAAAATTCTAGTGGCCTAAGAGAAAGCGAATTTCTCCTTGAAGAAGATATCTGCGAATATTTCTATGTAATGCGCATCACTCAACCAGAAGGGTATGTACATTTAAAAAAATAAATATAAAAATAATATTTGAGAATAAATATGAGCGTTACAATTCAATATTAATTTAATATTTTCTTTTTTTCTCAGCCCTTGGTTTTAAGGATTAATTATAATAGTTAAAGGCTTGAAGAATCGCATGAGTTCCAATAAAAATGTGAATGACAAAAATAATTATCCTCTTATATCAACGAAGCCTGATTTCTTTCAAAGTATTGAATGCTGAAGGCAAATATTCCTACCAAGGAAAACCGAACCTCTAATCACTTATTTAGGAGAAAAAAATCCCTACAACTAAATATTAACTTTATATGAGGCATTTGTTTGAGTAGTATAAAAAATTTAAATTTACTAATCTTTTATTTCAATTCAAACCTTCAAAGCATGGATATAATGAGGACGGTGGGACGGGAAGAGGAAGAGGTTTAAAATTAAACGGGGAAAAAAAACGATAGTTAATATTTAAAATAACTAAGGTAGATTGGGAATTTGATCTTCTATAAGGAATTGTAATAAAAATAAAATTATTTGGATTTGAATCAAATCCAAATCCATAAATTTTATGTATTCAAATAATAATGGATTTGGTCCAAATATAAATTCCTACCAATTCAAACATAACATTAGTGTATTAATATTATTTGTAATTATCACGACACACAATGGTAGGTTATACTTGTCAATTGAGATTCATTATTGTCTTATCTTCAATTGCATGAACTTCATAGTTAGAGGAGATCCGGATCAATTAGACACAAGTACACAACTAGTATTGAAATCTATTTATTAAAACTTTTGGTTTAATAATCAAAGTTGAAATTATATTTATACGTATTTTTGCATCACAACTCTCTATTAATCCTAAACTTTGGTATAAAGAAAAGGAACCTTCATTTATTGAAAAGTGGACGTCACTTAGGGATTGGATTCCTTTGTTGTCAAGTTGTATGTCTTGTTAAAAATATATTCTCTCTCTTTTTTTACGTGCAAGACAGCAACTTTATTCTTGGCGTTGTGATGAAACACATTATTCTCTTCCTCATCAACCCTATAAAAACCTAATTCGCTGCATGAACTTCCATCAAATTTCATTCATCATCCAAAAAAAGAAAGCACAGGTTGACGAAGTGAAAGAAGACAAAGAGCTTTGAATTTACAAGAAACAAGAAAGAGGAAAAAGAAGAAGGAAGGAAGGAGCTAGGTCACATATACAGTGCTGGTTTCAACATGAAGAAGCCTCATCACATCGCAGAACCGAACTTGGCAAACAAGGTAAGTATATATGTATACTTGCATGCTGATTATATATATATATATATATATATTATTCTAAGAGTAAATAAGATAAATCTTCCCTAGTTTTTATTGAAATGACCCAGGTGCGTTCTCTCTTTGTTTGTATTTAAAACGAGAAAGAAAATTGTATAATTTGAACAAAATCAATGAAAGATTTTTGAGTAGTCTTACTCTAGTTGAGAGAAAATTATGTATTCTTGAAAATAAAAACATAAGAAGATGCATATTATTAAGAAAATATGGGGAGAGTAGTAGCCCTAACATTTAGATGGGAGATTATAATTAATGAATTATATTATGCATGCATGCACTGATGGATATTGTAAAATTAACAATGCAGATTGCTGATAATAAATGGGAGATTTGGCCAAAGGGACTCAACATTGTTTGGGGAGACGACCCTCGATATTGGAACCTTGAGTGAGTATCGTATTGAATTATTTTTCTTATTCTATTAACTTTTTCTTTTATAAAACATCAAATCATAATTAATAGGGACCGACAGAAAAATATTCACAACCTTCATATCTTATAATTTGTTATTCCGTGTTAGTTATATTTTCAAAAAAAAGTACTTATTTTTCAAAAAAAAGTAATAGCTGATTTTTAGTTGTTAAACTTCACTAATAAAAAAGTTTACACAAAGTTACTCATAGTTTGCTATTCCATTCTAATCATTTTTATAAAAAAGTAGTCATTTTTCAAAAAGAAAATAGTAACTAACAAAAAAATACATCTAGAACAACTTATAATTTGTTATTCTATTCTAATCAATCATTTTCTAAAAAAAAAAAAGTAGTCATTTTTCAAAAGAAAATAGTAATTAAATCTTTGTTGTTGGATTTCAGTGAAAAATTTAAAAGAGGAACAAATATGTCATTTCACAAAAAAAAAAATCAAGCAAAGTCCCCTGAATTAAAAAATAATTATCATATTTTACCTAACTATCCCAATCGTCTCTCTTTTTAAGGAAATAAATTTCATGAAATGAATGAATTTTCAGGAAGGATCCGCATGGGAACGCGACACTGATACAAGTATCATGGCTAGACGTATCAGGTTCGGTGGAAGTTCCCAAAGGCAAGTACCGAGTGACTTTCGAAGTGCAGCTGAAGCCGGACGCCTTCGGGTGGACCGGAAGTCCGGTTCTGGTGATGGCCAAGGTGGGCAGGAAGGGCCAGTACCAGTACTCGGAGACCACTCTGAATAACGACGCCAGCAAGATTTCGGTTGATGTGGAAGTGCGTGACACTAACGAAGAAAAAAAGATCTACTTTGGACTCTATGAAGTGTGGAGTGGTAAATGGAAGGGAGGGCTTGTGATCAAGAAGGTCAACGTGGGCCCGCCTAATCCATGAAAATCGAATCTCTTTTAATTCCACATACGTCTCTCTCTCTCTCTCTCGCTCGCTCGCTCGCTCGCGTGTGATTCTGGCCAGGGAATGCTAGCTGGATGCTTTCTTTGTTTGCTCTAGCTGAGATGAGAGACCTAGTATGATGGGGAGAGTATCAGCATGAGCAATGTAATAACGTGTCTGTTTTACATGTAATGAATAAGCGTTTGCAATTATACTATATGAATATATTTGCAACACGGTCTATATATATATATATATGTATAATATGCATGTGTCTGTACTATTTCTCCCTCCTCTCTAGCCTGCCTCTCTCTCTCTCTCTCACTCACAATCACACACGAGAAACAATTTAAGGGTCCTTTATAAGCTGTCGTCTCCAAGTTTATATCCTTGGAAATCTTTATGGTTTTGGTTAAAACATACTTTTGACGTGAGAATAGTTCGGCTTCTAGAGGGGTAAAAACATGTTTGTTAAAAACTGAGTTGAGAAGCCAATAAGATGTGGCACAGATATCCGGGTTCCTTGAACATATATATGACCGGAGTTTGATTCCGAAGCCATGTATAACAATATATATATATATATATATATTGAGAAATACACGCCTAAATAAAACCCCAGTATCTCGAAGAATTGGTCTCTGGCATTCACAGGATATATCCTAAAGAAATCCCAAAAGGAAAAACCAAGTTGAGAATACTTGAATATTTGATTACATTATATCCATGACTACCATTTAGACTGAAAAATTATTGCGTGAACCATGAAGAAGTAACAGATCGCATCACAGCGCACTTGAGATCTATCAAATTTTTGTCCAAGTGCTAAGATTCTGACCAGCCTGGAAAAATAAATGTTCGAACTAGATTGCAAGCAAATCAAAATTTTTTTTTTAAACAATGTAAGTAACGTTTTAAATAAATAAATAAATAAAATAACCATTTCTCAACGCATTGCACGAGAAAAAGTGCTTATATCCTAATGAAGAAACCGCGCATACCTTCCACAAAAGCTAACGTTCGGTACCTTTGCTTTCCACTTGGAATATGGAAAGCACCATGACATGCCAAACGAGAAATTTGAGCTTCATATAAGCAAACCTCAGAGAAATTTGTAGATAACACATCATCTCATATACCAGACACGAGTGTTGTGTCAGAAAGAGGGCATATTTCTCACGTATGATACATTCCTTACATATACATATACCATTACGAGAAATATGCCAACATCTTCACAAGAATTTAACCTTTATACAAGATGTCACCAACTTATATAATCTGTACAGACATATTACCACCCACATCCACCGCAACAAATCAACAGAAGCTGATTTATCAGACATTGACTGAGACAGTTAACTCGTTTAGTTGAACATGCTGCTCACCGTTGTTGCCAGATTGAACAAGGACACTGGCCAGAACATCAGAACCAGACAGATTAGCTCCTTCATGTGAAACAGTGACAGCGCTCAAAGAAATCTTGTCGGCAGAAAGGCTGTATTCATCTTGGTGATGAGAAATGATTTCCCATTCCCCTTTAAGGGATGCTACTTCTAGATCATTCTCTTCGTGCTTCTCCATTTCAAACGCAGTGGGCAGAATCACATAATCATTAAGTGGGTTGTAGTATGGATCTGGATCACCCGCCTTCAGCCAATGCTTGAGAATCCGGAACACGTGATGATCACAGAGAATACCCCGATGTTCGCCTGGGACTCCAACCCTCGCCTCTGCTTTGAGCCCATCAGCCTGCAAGTGAAACAAGGATGAAGTGATATTGCTGGCCAAAATCACACTAACGGTCACACGTAGGTTGGAAAATCATGAAATGGTCATGGCCATGATGACCATCGGCTTCAACAAAAATACGATGCAATAATGAATACGATGGTCTCATTGCATCAGTAACAAGTGAGATGATAGCTGACGAATGGATATGACAGTTGGCTAATATTTGGCACATGCAAAAATACTTTCTAAAAAGGAAATAAGAAATGCATCTAGGAAGAGAATGTAACAGATGCATTTCTCATTTTCTTTCTAAAAAGACACTTTCCTACATTCCAAACGTTGCAATAGAACCTTGTGATAATCACAAGGGTACTGTAGTAATAATTGTGAAGAAACATGTGGGCATTAATAATTGTGAAGCACATCTTCAGCCTAGCAGACGCTCATTGTAACAGTAACCACGGATTACTATCTGTAAAAAAGATGAAACCATCGAAAAGGTACTGACGTAGCAGGATTGATTAACCTATATTACAGAACATCTTATCCATCATAATCAATGAATAGTGGCCAAAACTAATGCTATTCCAGTAGATTGCCCAAAAAATATTGCAAATAAAAATAAGCATGTCTAAGTTGGCCAACCTTAGCTGATTCTGCTGGTACTGTACCATCACCATCAACACATATGTATTTGGCCTGCAAATAGTTTTTTAAAAAAAAAAGTCACCATTCACAAATGGAAAGGAAAATAGATTACTTAGCGGAGAGTTTGGGAGACAAATTGAATGTAGTTATTACTTTATTTTAGTTAGTTAAAGTACATATTTAATTCTTTAACTTTATATAAGGCTTCATTTTGATCCCTTAATTTTATAAAGTCTATTTTTAGTCCTTTCACCTTGACACTATTAGTTTTATTGACAAAAAATTCCAACATTGAACTTTTAAATATTGACCAAACATTTTCAAACATTGTTTTATTAAGTTTAATTTTTTAAAATAGCAATGATTAGCAAAGAAAAAAAAAATATTTGAAACTGACGATGTTAGGATTAGAAAATTTAAAAGATTCTTTACAAAAACAAGGGACCAACTAAAATGTTATATAAAATAACAGGACCAAAGGTACACTTTACCCATTTAAATTTAATGTTTTACGTACATTTATAACCACATACATAGTTATTCAAAAAAAATTCAATTAAATACGTTCTCAGAACCAAAGAGGATAAAACGATGCAGATGGAAAACTATCCAGAGTTATTTTAGCTACTTGCACAGATAAAACATGTAGAGTAAACTAGATCAACCGACATTGCATGTGTCAAATTTACATGCATAACCTCTGCACCATAGACGTGAAATTCTCATCAGGAAACAAATATTGGTACCAAAGCAATGACCTGAAAATAACGTAGCTGTTGCAGATCTGAGACAGGCTTCTCCCCACTTCCAAAGCTGCAGAATAGTTATTTAAACTTTATAACGAGTTTTTGCTGTAAACTGAATATCATCGAAAGAATTGTTGGAAGCATTACCAAACAGTATGAGGTGTCTCAAGACCAATCCCATAAATATTGTAGAATTTGACTTGAGAGGGAAGTTTAGCACCAGATAAAATCTTGCGCGTTTCATTTGCCCATTTCAAGATCTCCATGTTAAAAGCAAGGGGCAAATCCTCACCATCATAGTTGACCTAGATCGTGGTTTAACAATATTATACCAACCTAAGATGTACTGATAATCATCCTAGACCTTGAATGAATAGAAATACTTCTAGCTGTCAAAAGCATCATAGTAACTACACAGCCTTTCTTCAACAAAACCTTGGTATTGCCAGTTTCATTCTTTCCTTTCACAGAAATAAGAAGAGTAAACATTTTTCCTTGAACACTGAAAGATCACAGGACAAAATCCCTAGTATGACTTCAGTTTTAAGAAAAAAAAAAATCTCATGTTAAAGACATCATTACTTGTTTTTCCATTACAAGTTATTCACAAAATTCAATATGATTTGTAAAGTGAACATTTATCACATGATCCAGACATCAAAGTACAGATAATAATATAGTTGATTAAATTCATGAAAGCTATCGAGATTGAATTTCAATTGCCATATAAGATAAAGCAGATAACTCACCTTGTTAGTTGCAAGAGATTCCTTTATAATTTCAACACTATGTTCTGGATGATAAGACTCCAGAATAATATGAGGTTTCCCATCCGAATTATGTTTCCCATCACAATCATGCTTCTCACGCCACAGTTCTAGAACTGGGATGTTTTCCCAGTGAAAACCAGGACAACCCATAAGTTCATATAGAGATGGACATTCAATCAGCTGTAACATTGTAAGAAGCTAATCAATTTTAAAAATTTCACAGCATCAGAATGAAAGAAAAACAAACAAAAACGAGACACAAGTAAATCCGATCACACAAAACAAGGCCAGGTGTATGACATTGCCTCAATCATTTCATGAAAAGATAAGTTGGAATAACCTTAATAAAACAAAGAACACACCATCCAGCAAATATACACCCAGTAAAAATATAATTGTATAATTAATTATTCTTAAGTCATCATAGCAACTTATTATTGACTACCTTGTTCACAGCTATGGACGATATCTATAAGTCAAAACCCTCATTTCCATATCTTCGTTAGTTCACACCAATTCATATATTCGTTTTCAATATCAAAATACATAACAGAATGGTCTGCAAACAATTTGGGTTTTATATGTCATATAAAAAAGATCTTATCCCATCGTTGCCTATTTCATCACAGAGAAACATTGATCACTTAGCACTTCTACAAACATAGGAAAACTTCATATTTTAATTATATCATTCATTTGCTAGAAAAATAATAAAATAATGAGCTTTTATGTTTGCAACAGTTAAATCATACTAATTACATTAGCTGTATTAAAAAACTCTACCCACTTGGTTTGACCAGAAACTTAGCCAACTTGAATCTTGTTTTCAAACTTTTTTTTTTTCAGTTTAATAACTCAAACAATTTTTCTTTTATTGATAACAACAACATATCTGTTTAAGCAATTCTTTTACTCAGTTTTTCAAACAGAGTTCTCTGCCTTCTGCATTTTAAAGACGAAGAAAATGATTTTTTGTTCATTGCTTTTGTAAATAAATTTACAGTCCAAGTTAATCAATCATTTTTTCATAATATTCTAGATATTAAAAATAATTTTTATGCTATAAATTATAAACTTGAATCGAAGGAAGCAGCCTTTTAACTCCAAAATCTTCAAATTGAGTCTTGTTGAAACATTTTCAGACAATGGCCATATGGCCTAGTGGTGTGAGGTTATGGATTCAATTCCACTTGCTACTCTATGTAATGAGAAAAGGGAAAAAAAAAATTCAGGATACATTTAACAGAAATTTTCATGAATATTTTTCTAAGACTGTATTCAAAAACTAATAGACATAAACAGCATCAAATGGGTCCATTACATGCTATCTATAGGATTTTTTGATGAAAGATGAGACAGTTTCATCAAAGCCAAGTCATATATTTCATCTCATTTATAAACACATCATCCTGTCAATGTAGAATGGTCCACTATGGCAGTGTTAACGGTTACACAAGAAAAATAGAAGTGCCAAGTTTCCTAAAGTTTTGCATCCAAGACAGCTTGTGATAAGTAACAGTGATGACCATAAAGGAAAGACAATTCATTTCAAAAAATTTTATAATTAATGATTAAAGAGTAAACTCAAATTTAATTTTATGAATTGAAAATAACTGATCCCTACCAATTGGTGCATGCTCCATTTTGAAATGAAGAAATTCTGCTCCCACCCCTCAACAAATGACATTCCATTTAAAAAGGTAGAATTGACGTATCCAGGTGCACCTGTCGAAAAATGCACTTCACTGTTATGCACTTGCAATTACAGCTATTAATTGAAGATTGCAAGGCGTCCTCCAAAAGAAAGACATAATGGGAAAAGGTAAAGCATAAATAGGGATATATCCAATTTGACAACCTCCTAAGGAACTGATGAGCTTCAATCCATAGGACAGCCTAAAATCAACGCTGTCCGATAAAAAAAAAAAAAAAAAATCCTATGACCATGTTTACCTCCCAAAACATACTCGAGCATTATTTCCAGCCAAATACCTGAAGCTTGCACGATGATTAAGAAGCATGGTGCTAATCCCTATGACCATGTTTACCTCCCAAAACATTGAAAATGAAAGAACAGAAAAGCCCCATGTTTTTTGAGATTTGAAGCAGCTTAATTTACTTAACTATGAAAACTAGATAAAGAAAATAACTTAATTATCTTGCAGATGATCCAAAGCCATCCCAAAGAGTCGGCTGTGGACCATACAATATGCTAGACCACTCTAAAGAGAAAAACAAAGCATAAGATCCTTAGCAGCACACCCAGGTTTGATTCTTACTCTAGCCCTTCCCCTCTCCAAGCCCCTCCCAAAGCCTCATGCCTCCTTCAGAAAATAAATAACAACATAACAAGCCTTATCCCACTACATAGAGTCGGCCACATGAATTGAACGACGCCATTATACTATATCATCAACCAAACTTTTAAGAATATTTTTAATTAGGTCTCATTCAACAAACTGCATGAATGTTTTCTTTGATCTTCCCCTACCCCTCTCTATAATGCTCAAGATTATCCATTCCACTTTTCTCGCCGGTGTTTCTCATATTTTTCTCTATACATGGTCAAACCATCTCAAATGATTTTCTACCATTTTCCTTTCAACAAATACCATGCCCATGTTTTCTTATAAATTCTCATTTTGGATTTTATCTTTTCATGTATACTCTCACATCTCTCTCAACATTCTCATGTCTGCTATTCTAACTTCTTGGTCATGCTATCCCTTTAAAGCTGAACATTCACTATTATATAACAGTGAGTCTTATAGCAATTCGATAAAACTTTCTTTTAAGTTTATTAGATACATTTCGATCACAAATAACTCATTTACCCTTTCTCCAATTAAGCCACCTAACTTGTATCCTATGAGCAACATCCCCATCAATTTTCCCATCGTGTTGAATAATAACTCACAAGTACCTAAACTTTTTAACTTCAAGTATAATCTGGTCTCCTAATCTTACTTCCAAATTACTACTGACTTCTTATCAAAATTGTAATGTAAATATTGTCTTACTCCCACTCAAGCACAAACTCTTTGAGTCCAGGATCCTCCTCCACCACTTCAATTTATAATTAATCTCTTCTCTTGTATCCGCAATAAAAACTATATCATTCGGAAAAAGCATGCATTTGAGAATTTTCTCTTGAATATACTCAATCAAACATTTAGAACAAGGTCAGACAAGTAAGGACTCAAAAATGATCATTGATTATGAAATAGAATTACTTAGAAATTAATTGAGAATTATTTACTCCAGATTTTCAAGGATATAATTATATTGGGGGACTAAATGAGAACAAATGAGTGTTTTATTTTCTGTTTATTATTTCCTTTACTATTTCGATGTACAAACAACTGTAATGTGTATAAATTTCTCCCTAATCTAATCCAATTCCTACATGGTACCAGAGCAGGTTGACTCTAACCTGGAAATCGAACACGATCACATTCAGCCAGAAGGGGGGTCTCAATCAAGCAACTCGAGACAGTCTTCCATGGGTTCCGACACCAAGATCCCTTAAACATATCTATGGTGGAACCCCTCACGAGTTGAGTTCTGCCAAAGGATTGTCTCTCTTCCTGTCTGACAAGTTCAATGGACAAAACTACTGTGAGTGGGTCCAAGCAATTCGACTTGTTGTTGGTGGTCGTGGCAAGTTGGGTTTCATCACAGGCGATTCCAAGGCACCAAACAAGTCAGACGTGAAGGCAAGGTTGAAGTGGGAGACAAAGAAATCAATAATGGCTTCATGGTTGGTCACAACTATGATCCCACAGGTTCGATGCTCATTCACGCTCTTGCCGACGACAAAAGACATCTAGGATGCTGAGGATAGTGCCCAAATATATGATCTGAAAATTAAAAGCTGGCATCTTCAAGAGTTTTGGTTGGAATTGGTTTCAATATGGCAGAAGATTGATCTCAACAAAGAGGACAAATGGTCTTGTGCTCTTGATGCTGCAAGATATAAAAAACGGATTAAAGATGAGCGTGTGTTTCAGTTCTTGGCTAGGCTTCATCCTTCTTTAGATGATGTTCGTAGCAGAATCTTGGCTCGTTCACCATTACCCTCTACCAAAGATGCTTTTGGAGAAGTTCATAGAGAGGCTTCTCGCCGAAAGGTAATACTTCCTAATCCTATTCCAAAGTCTCCATCTAAATCCTCTACACTGGTAAGCAGAAACCTTGATCAAGGTATGAAGCAAACAAAAGGGAAATTATTGTGTGATCACTGTAAAAAAAATGGGACACACAAAAGACAAGTGTTGGAATCTTCATGGGAAGCCTGTTGACTGGAAACCATGCAAGGGGAAGGCACATGGATATCAAGCAGCTCCTGAAAAAGCACCAGAAAAATCTGGTTCTATTCCTACAATTGATAAAGACAAGTTAACCAAGCTCTTAGAGATGTTGAACGCTCTACAATGATCCGAGGAGCCTGCACAGTCCTCACACATTACTTCTATGGCTGAACAAGGTAATGATCATTATGCTTTGAATGCTTCTTTCAATAAATCCCAATGGATTGTCGACTCTGGGGCCTCTAACCACATGACTGCAAATAGGGCTATGCAAAAGTCTCGTGGTCTCGTTCGGTCCGATCCAACCCATGAAAATCCGATCCTGTCCAGTCCTGTAAAATGCTAGTCCTATAGGACCAAAAAGACCAAAAAGACAGGATTGATTTTTCGGGTAAGACCAGACTAGAGACCAAGCATCTGGACTAAGTGGTCCGGTTTGGTCCTATATAATTATTTTAATATAATTAAAATTAATTTATAAATTATTAATTAATAAGCCTTAGAAAAAAAAAGTCTTAATCCTGCCTTGCACTTTGCACTCTGATCGAAAAAAAAACCTCAACACTGTTACTCAACAGCACTTAGCCTCTCAACCACTCACTCAACTTTGCTCTCATTCTCAATTTCTTCAGTGCGCCAAAGCCCTAGCCCCTGCCTTGCACTTTGCACTCTGATCTTGATCTGTTCGAACTTTGAAGGAACATGTCTGTGTTTTGATTTTTATTACTTCTGTTCTTGCTGATTTTTTCCTCTAGTCTATTTTTGGTCTTTCCTCTAATTTTTTATTGAAGTTATGTATTTAAATCATTTGGAGTTTGGACTGTAACTAAAATATTATTTTCTTGGTGTTAGAAATTATTATGGATTTATTATGATTATAAGTGTTTTTATTATCTTAATTGAATTTGTTAAGTTGAAATAGATTATTGGTCATCATAGAGAAAAAAAGAAAAAAAAAAGGCCAAGTGAGTATTGGACTAACAGGACCAGTCTTCCAGTCCTATGGACTAAATCCAGTCTTGTTAATCTCCGGGTTTTCACAGGACCAGACCGGACTACATGTTACCTAACCCAGTCCTTTTCATGAAAAAGACCAGACTCCGGGTTAGGCTAAAGTCCAGTCCCGTCCAGTCTTTTGTGCAGCCCTAACTGCAAACTCTACCCTGTTTATATCATATTGTCCATGTAGTGAGTGTGAGAAAATTGCCACTGCAAATGGAACGTCCTCCTCTATTGCTAGAAAGGGAAGCATTACTTTTTTTGATCTTTTACGTTTGGATTCAGTACTCCATGTTCCATATCTAGCTTGTAATCTACCATCCATTAGCAAGTTGACTAAGCATGCCCACTGCAGTGCTCACTTCTTCTCTAGTCATTGTGTTACTCAAGATCTCTTGTTGGGGAAGATGATTGGTAGTGCTGATCTACCTCTGAGAGTAATAATCTTTTGTTATGGCATAAAAGAATGGACCATCCTAATGTTCAAAATTTGAGTTGCTTGTTTCTTCAGTTTTCATCAAATAAAATTTCTACTTTTCAGTGTGATACTTGTGAATTGGCCAAACACCATCATCCTTCTTTCCCTCGTGCTGAATATAAAGCCTCAACTTCTTGTACTCTGCGCCTGCAGTTTCTCTTTTTTAGTCTCGAAGCGAGTTTCAGTCATTTTTTGAGTATTCTCCTGTTCCTTCTATTGATCTTACCCCACCTAAGCTTACATCTATTCCTGACTCCTTTTTTGAACCTGTGCCTGTCCCTGACTTTTCTAGTCCAAAAACAAGAGAAAATGCAAGCACAGAGGACAACAAGGACACAAGTACCATAGAAAAAGAGATCATAACATACAAACAAAAGAAGAAGCAAGGTACTAAGTCCTTGATTCAAAACCAACAAGAGGTTCTATAGAAGAAGGTGAGAATATCACTAAAATTGTGGAAGTAGATGATGACAGGGAGGAATTTGAGAATGATTTGAACCTACCTATTGCACCTAAAAAGAAACCCAGATCCTGTACACAACATCCTATTTAAAAATATATGTCATATAAAGCATTATCTCCCAAGTATCAAGCATTTATTGCCAATCTAGATGTAACTAGTATCCCATATAACATTCAAGAGGCCCTCAAATCACCATGGTGGAGAGAAGCCGTCTTTGAAGAGATGAAGGCATTGGAGGAAAATGGGACCTAGAAAGTTGTGAATAAACTAAAGAACAAGTAGCTTGTTACCTGCAAATGGGTGTTCAACCCAAAATACAAAGCCAATGGGAGCCTTGAGAAATTGAAGGCACGTTTGGTAGCCACAGGATTCACACAGACATATGGCATTGACTACCAGGAAACCTTTGCACCAATTGCCAAGTTAAACACCATTAGGGTGCTATTATCTATAGCAGCCAACCTTGATTAGCCCTTGCATTAGTTGAATATCAAGAATGCCTTCTTGAACGGAGACTTGAAAGAGGAAGTGTATATGACTCTGCCTCCAAGTTTTGATCAAGGAAGAGGTGATCAAGTGCGCAAGCTAAAGTAGTCCTTATATAAATTGAAGCAGTCACCAAGAGCATGGTTCGATAGATTCTCACTAGTCTTGAAGTCTTAGGGCTATAACCAAGGATTATCTAATCACACCATGTTGTCAAAATGGAAGGAGGTAAAAGATGTGTTCTCATTGCTATGTTGATGATATGATCCTTTCCGGGGATCACAATAAAGAAATCATGAGAATCAAGGAGGCTCTGAGTCAGGAATTCAAGGTTAAGGATCTGGGAAAGTTGAAGTATTTCTTGGGAATAGAAGTTGCAAGATCAAAATAGGGCATTCATGTGTCCTAACGAAAATATGTACTTGATTTCTTAAAGGAGATAGGTACATTAGGGTGTAAGCCTGCTAAGACACCTATTGTTGTTCCAAAGAAAAGATACAAGGCCAAGACAAAAGAAGGAAATTCTGATAAAGAAGTTGAACTAGTGGAAGAGAAGGAGGATGAGAAGGAAGGAAAATTAGCTGATAAAGAGAGATATCAAAGGCTTGTGGGAAAACTCATCTACCTCTCCCACACATGACCCGACATAGCCTTTGCAATAAGTATGGCTAGTCAGTATATGTGTGAGCCAAAGGAAAAACACATGGAAGCAGCATACAAAGTCCTAAGATACTTGAAAGGCACTCTTGGAAACGGTTTGTTGTTTCAAAAACATGAACAGGGAACTATAGAAGTTTACACTGATGAAGAATGGGGAGGACATCACCCAAACAGAAGATCTACTTCTGATTATTGCTCGATTGTATAGGGAAATCTAGTCATATGGAAAAGTCAAAAGCAAAGAGTTGTCTCCAAAAGTAGTGCTGAATTAGAGCTAAGAGCACTGGCACAGGACATAACAGAGGAAATATGGCTACGAAGAGTACTTGAAGAAATTCATGTTGATGTAAAACTACTACTGAAATTGTATTGTGATAATAAAGCAACCATAAGTATGGCTTTAAATCTAGTATAGCATGAGAAATCAAAGCATGTAGAAATCGATAGGCACTTTATTAGGGAGAAGGTAGAAGATGAGATCATCTGCTTGACCTTCCTAACAACAAATCTCCAAGCAGCCAATGTGTTGACCAAGGGGTTACATAAACCCGCTTTCAAAAGTTGCATAAGCAAGTTAGACATAATTAGCATCTATAATGCAACTTGAAGAGGAGTGTGAAATAGAATTATTTAGAAATTAATTGAGAATTATTTACTCCAAATTTTCAAGGATATAATTATATTTGGGGAGCAAATGAGAATAAATGAGAGTTTTATTTTTTGTTTATTATTTCGGAGTATAGTCAACTATAATGTGTATATATTTCTCCTTAATAATGGAATAAACGTGTTATCTAATCCAATTCCTGCATTGATGTAGTCCAATCCTTATAGGAAAGCACTTTGTTTCACTGCCAAACATTCATATATTGATTCCTGCCCCTTCATACATATCTTGTATCACTCTAATGTGGACAACTCGAACTCCTTTTTTTTTTCAAGGCTTTCCAAAAAATTTCTCTTAATACGCCATCACAAGCTTTTTCTAAATTAATAATAATAAAAACAATGTGTAAATCTTTACTCTTGTTTTGATATTTTTTTCCATAAACTCTCTTTACAGATAAATTACTTCTGTAGTTGCCCTACCTGACATCAAACCAAATTGATTCTCAGAAATATCAATCACCAATCTCAACCTATGTTCAATTACTCTTTCCCACAATTTCATTGATTCTTAAGGAAGGCATAACAACAAAACACATGTTCCTCATACTTGATGGGCACATTAAGAGTAAAAATCAAAAGCAACGAGAAGTGGTAAACCCGAGAATTAAGTACAACAACAATAACAAGCATTATCCCAATAGATGGGATCGGTTACTGGATTATATGACGCCATTGTGTTTTATCATTTATTAAGCTTATAAAATAATATTAAGTAAAAAGTCATCCTCAATAACTTTTAAAAATATTCTCTTTGACCTTCCTCTATCCTTCTTGACCGGACTTAAAGTCATCTGTTCCCCTCTTCTCACAGATGCCTCCTGTGGTCTTCTTTATATATGTCAAAACCACCTCAAACGATTTTTTTACCATTTTTCCTTCAATAGGTGCGACGTCCATTTTTTCCCATATTCACTCATTTCAAATTTTATATTTACGTGTGTATCTGCACATCCATCTCAACATTCTCATCTCTGTTACTCCAACTTTATACTCTTTTTGTATCGTTAAAGCCCAACATTCACTACCATATAATATTACTAGTCTTATAGTAGTTCGATAAAACTTCCCTTTAAGTTTATTAGGTATTTTACGATCGCAGATAACTCCTTTAGCCTTTCTCCAATTAAACCACCCAATTTGTATCCTACATGCAATCTCTCCATCAATTTCCCCATTATGTTGAACAATTGCTCCCAAATATCTATATTTTTCCACTTGCAGTATGATCTAATCACCCAATTTCACTTCCAAATTACTACTCACTAACCTCTAATCAAAATTACAATGTAGATATTCTGTTTTACTCCTACTCAGATTGTGATAGTTTGGACATCTTAATTTAGGGTATCACAATCACAGAATAAGAAAGATGCATGAAGAATGTCTTCCCAGGTACACACTCTTTTTCCATGCAAATGTAAAGACTATTTTGTAATGCAAAACTCTATGGAAATTGAAATGAGAAATGAAAAAGAAACAAAAGTGGATGAACCAAAAAAAAAAGTAAAAGAAAAAAAATACAAATTAGGAAATAATTATACTAGTAACAAATAAACCTTCTTACAACCCACATTAAACAAGCTTTTAGCTTTTAGAGTTGCAGCAAAAGCAATTGAATTAAGTAAATATCAAGTTACATTAACTATTCACTATTGAATAACCTTTCACGCTTCCTTCTATCTCTTTCCCAAAGCCACACGCAAGATCATGACCATGTTCTATTTTTATTTATCAATCATTTTGTAACCTCTGCACGGCCATTGTTTATGTTCCCAGCAACAAATTTAGCCTATAAACATTTAATATCTCCTTCAAAACAAACAGTCCCTAGCTTGAAAAATCAAATTGAAAAATGCATAGTGTGATTTCATTCAGTATCAATGCTGGTACCTCTGAGCATATATGAGATCCGTTACTTACCCTGGAATGGAGCAGCAATCGCAATCCAATTCTTAACATATTTCTCAAAAATCTGCAAAACAAAAGGCACAAACTTGTCAATTTTACCTAACATCCATTAAAAAAAATTCCACGATACACATCTACAGACCACAAGCTGACAGACAAATTAAAATATTACAGAAAACTGTAGTGACAAATAGAAACAAACTCATACAAATTTAAGAGGCCAGAGGGATTCTTTACATCATTATGCAAGCACATGAAACATTTCACCAAAAGGCCACCCATAGAATGACTTATGATGTTTATCTTTTTCCCTCCCGCAGCATTGTACACTGACTCTAATTTTGCAGCCAACTGATCTAAAGTTTCCGGAAACCTGCACCACAAAAAGTGGTACAATTGTCACAGCACTGAATTTAATCTTACTAAAAAGTAAATACATATTAAAGAAGTTATCCTTGAATAAATTGCCGATCATACGACCAGCAAAACAGAACCCAACAGATACATATTAAGAATAAGAAGTCTGATTAAATTAAATTTTGACAAAATTACAGTTCAGGGACCCAAGTTGAAGATATCTACATTGAAGGGACTTAAGTTTTGAAATTACTCTAAAGGACCCTTAGACCAAAAATTTAAAACGCACAACCTTATAGTTCAAACCACAAGTTAAAATTTTGTATTCTAGAGTCCCTAAAAATGATTTTCAAATTAAGGCCCTTCAGTTTAAATATCTTTAACATGGGGCCTTCAGCAGTAATTTTCCCCTTGATTTGCAGTTACAATTTAGTTCTGGCTAACTTTCCACACAAGAACAGTAAAAAATTTTCCCACCCATCTTAAAAAGAAAAATTTTCCAGACGTATACTTCCAGTGGAACCAACAAAACCTGGAGAAAAATCATTAATCACCATAGCATGTTATCCTCTGTGATACTGTAACAGGTATGCATCAAATGAAAAAACAAATGTTTCTAATTATGCCTTCCAAGTAACAAGCTCTCTACATTTTTTGTAAGCCATTACATCCACCCATTAGGTTTGCATTTGAGGAATCATAATCTTTTTTTCATCCATAATTATAAAGGAAAAGAAGCACAAAGCCAATGGATCAAGAGTGCAGAGGTGGCAAACAATGCCTATAGCTTCTGTGCCAAACACAGAAGGATAAAAATCTAATAATCTAATATGACCTTGTATGAAAAGTATTATTGTAGAGCTTATTTAAAAAAAAAAATCCCACTAACTTATTCAGAGTGGAGTGTTGAATAACATTCTCTATCATGCCTCAACAAAGTGAAAGGAATTCCCCCAGCCTTTTAACGTATGACCAATATGATTAAACAGATTCAGTTTTCCAATGCTATGGCACCTGTTGCTTTGGCGAAAATCATAACCAAAGCCGAAAAGGGTCTTTCCCTCCTGAAACCCCCATTTAATCATTTCAACGATCATGTCATGGAAATAATAAACACATTCACGTCCAATTACCTGCATCATAAAATATGAATAGGAAGCAAGAATCAACTGTCGATTCATCTGGATTGTAGGATACACATCTAAGTTATAGACTTACATTAATTCATAGAATTTTGAGGCCAATTATGCCTATAAATACTTAATTTATCATAAAATGTAAAGTTCGCCAACAAAGTGCACTTTTCTTGCTAAATATATGCTCCCTTCGGTCCTTATTATGGAACACTTTCAATCATTTTACGCATCTTAAGAAAAGTTAGTTTTATTCTTGATATCATAAAAAAGTGAGAGGTACTTTCATTTTTACCCGTGGTTTTAAATAATAATACAACTATATTAAATACCTTCACACTAATCAAGAAGAGGTAAAATTAAAAAAAGTGGATTAAATATTACAAGATGCCTATATTTTGGATTAAAAATTATTTCTAAAAGGTGTCTTATAAATAAGACCGAAGGGAGTATTGATTAAAAAAAAAAAGCAATTCCACAGCATTTAATCACCATAAACCAGAAGACAGAAGAAACTACAGGCACCTGCTGTACATTCTCAATTTACATGGGGGCAAAAGCCTCCTCGCATTCACATATGGATTATTTAGTTGAGGAAAAAAAGAGAAGCATATGCACATGCTAACTTTTATCATGTGAAAGAGAAAGGAGAATTAATGCAGAGACGTACAAACTTCATTGCACCATATGATCAAAAACATTAGCAGCTTGGAATGCCATGTGTACTAGTGTTCAAAACAGCAAATCATGCATCAAGAAGGACATGAACATGGAACAAAAGGAATGAAGGCGTCTTAATTCTATCTCAAGAACTACAATGGTGGCATACCATATCAGGGTCCAAAACATCAATTGCATAGAGTCCATATCTGTCTTCCGGAACTGTAATACTTGTGTTTGAATCCATAGAAACAGTTTTACCTGGTTCCAAAAGAAATAATTAGCGTTCAGCCTTCTGAATTTTAATTTTCATGTTGCACCATCTTCACTTCTTCCATATAAACAACCAAATGATTATAATTCCCATGTTTCCATTTTGTAATTTACTAATTCAGTAGTAACATATAAAATAAAAAGGTATTAATCATATTCAATAAAATATTTTATTTACCCTAATACAACCCATTCGTTATTAATGGCATTCAGATAAAAGGAGAGAACGCAGACAAAGTTGCATTAACAACTGATAATATTAATGTAAAAAAGCATAACCAAACGAGGATGAGGAAAGCTGAGGAGACTAGTCTGAGTTGACCTTGACTTTCTAAATGCTAGGATAGTAAACCCAGGATATTTGCAGTGACATTAAATTACTATTTTGGATCAAAAAGTTATTAAGGGGAAAAAAATCGTGGAAGCAGATAAGCGCCAAACGTTCGCATTTTTTCAGTCAGCAAATTCAGTTCACCTACATAGTTCTCATAAAAGCTTAATAGTTTTTCCATCCCCCCCCCCCTGCAAGCGTATAAAAGCTTAAGAAAGAACGAAACGCTTATATTGAACAAGAAACACTTTCAAACTTAACTAATATAATTCGATTACCAGTAGCAGGATCAAATCGAGACCATAGCTTGGTCCGAAACGTATAATCAGCAGAGAGGATACGAACCCAAACCCTATCTTCTTTACCATTCTCATCATCCACAACCTTAAGAATCGAACCAGCAATACCAGGCACCAACAGAACAGGGTCGAGATTGGGATTCACGTAAGGCTGGGGCTTCTTGATAAGGTTCAACCACAGTTCCACCGATTGCAAAATATCGTCCAACAGTACAGCCATTGCCAGATGAAAAATCCAGCAAGTAAACAACGTCAGGATCACAAAATTGCGATCGGATTCAGAATGTTCGCGAATGGATGAATGATTATGAAACAGAATGGGAGAATCGACAGGCAATAGGTGGAACAAAATGGGAGATAATCGAATTAGGGTTTGGATTTGGGGCTTATGACGACGAAAGTGAGAGTGAAGATGATTAGATGACAGCACTCGTGTCAAACGAGACCACCCACGGTATTCTAAAAAAATAATAATAATAATAACAAAAGAAAAGAAGAAGAGAAATAGTAACGTAGAGATTACGGTATTTTTTTTTTTAGTAAGAAACTGAATATCATCCAATCCTGAAGAGACAAGAAACTAAAAGCAGACTAAAGGGCAATCTAAAAACAATCATCATCCACCTCCTACGGATACCTAAGATGGTGGACGATCAAAGATTACGATATCTTGACTTGTCGACCGTAACTACAATAAATTATGAAAACAAAATATAATTAAGCGTGCGTTGGAATGAAAAGATTTTCAATTGAAATTAAAAATCAATTAAAATTAGGAAAAATTATGTGATTATAATATGATTTATATTTAAATATTTTTAAAAAATTTAATTAATATTTAGATGATTTAATTTAAAAGTCAATTAAGTTATATAATGACAAAAATGAATATAAGTTTTCTTGCATATATTTTAATGAAAAATACTCTCTTCGTTCAAAAATGTAAGGTATTTTTAATTGAATATCACCCCAATAAAGTAGTTACCTACTTTTCAACTAACTCCTATCTTTCTATATTTACTCCTATTAAATAGCTTATAATAAACATAAAGTTATTATCAATAAGGGCACTTTTAAAAAAGGATAAAGATTACACCTCAAAAAACTAAAAATGCTTTATATTTTTTAATATCTAACTCTCCAAAAAATGCATCACATTTTTAATGAAAGGAGCATTAAAGTTTAAGTTATAATTAAAAAAGAGAGATGATATATAATTTATTGTTTGTAAATTATAAAACTCTAAAATAAATTAACAAATTTCAAAATATTAAATTATAAAAAACTAAAATAACTCTATGCATACGAAGTAAATAAGTCATTCTAAATCCAACGGTTGGAGCCTAGAAATATTAAAAAAAACAACTGGAATAATAACCGAATAAAGAGTTTATTAAGTTAAAAAATATAGATAGTAGAGGCCAAAATTATTCAATGAGCAAGAATGTCAAAACCACTGGACAAAGGATATGATTGTAATTAACAGATGATAGAAAAATGTAAATAGCATTACATGCCGACGGGACTAATGCAATGCCAGAAGCCAGAATCATTAGCTTCTGGTCTAATTAAGGTTTTAGGATAAATGCTCTTTTTAAAAAATTTTAAACCAAACAAAAACATAATGAGGTTTAGAATCCTTAGAGTATTTTCCAAACATACTCTGCCTCTATTTAAATTTGTTAAAATTACAGTCCTGCGTTATTTTAAATATATGCACTTTAATATATTTTTTAACATGAATATTCCATTTAAAATTCTAAAATATTTTATCTCCTAATTAAAATATGTAATAAAAATTTAAAATTACCAATATACTCTCATAATCTAACATCTTTTCTCTCCTCCTATTTTAAAGAATATTATGGTCATATTTATATAAACATATCACAAAATATTAAAATTAGTAAACATAAAATTATATTTAAATTAATAAAATAAATAAAATTCATATTAATTAATCTATCCCTCATGATATTAAATTTATAATTATGATTATTTTAAATTTTTAATTCATTATATTTTTATTCATATATATTTAAAATATTATTTTTATCAACTTATATATTTAAAATTTAAAAAATTACTATATAAATAAGTTTATTTAAATGAATCTTGAACTTGTATGCTACATAGATATGTTTATTTATATTTACTATTATTTTTATGAACTTATATATTATAATTATTATTTGGAAACTTAAATGACTCTTACATAATATTATGTTAAATAGGAGTACTTCATTTGAAAATATATGCTTTAATGGTTAGTTAACAGTTGGATGAATGGAAATTGAATCTCTAAAATAGAGAAGAGGCATGTGTAATGTAATTTTTTATTTTAATGGAAGTTTATAGAAGTTTTAAAAATAAAAGAGAGGCATTTGTAATTAAGGTAAAATAGAGGGGGCTTGGTGTATATTATTCTAAACAATAACAAGATTGAAGCCTTGTGCCCCATCAGCTGCGTGGGATTTATTTTAAGATTTGTTTCGTAATTTTTAATATCTTTTGCTTGTTTTAATGTCATTTCATATTTTGGAACTTACATGATATCATGATATATTTTTGTAATCGATATAAGTTGTATGCATGATAGATTTTTTTTTTTTTAGTTTCATCGAACAACTTCTATGGTGTTGGTTTCATAATTATTGATATGATTTTGATGTGATTTATTTAAGTGTCCTTCCTTGTTATGGAAAGTACTGAAAGAAGGAAAACTTGATATACTTGCAAGAATAAAGACGTTCTTATAATATTTTTGTTTTATGTTAGTCTTATAACTCAAATCATCATTGTCAAAAAACACTTTTTGTTGACATAAAATCACATTTAAATTTTCTCTTCCTTTTACAAACTTGGCTAAAGTGTTTTTCAAATCTTCTTTTTCATAGGCAAGCGTTTCACAATGGGAACATGAAAAATGAGTTTGATTTTCTAAAACTTGTATCTTTTTCTTTAAAGACTCATTTTCTTCTTTTAGTTTTGAAAAATCATTTTCAACAATTACAAATCACTTCTTTATTGAAATCAAAGTTTTTGCCAAAATAAGAGGCTCATTATAGAGTTCATTAAAAGCATTATATAATTTTTCAAAAGTGAGCCAACAGGCATGGTTTAGCTTCTTCAACATTACTTTGCTCATCTTCCTTATCACTATCTCCCTCAATAGAACAAAGTATGTCTTTATCTTCTTTTTCTTATATATCTTCCCTTTGTTTTCATGCTCCTTTAAACATAGTGAACATTTCTATTTGATATATCTAGGCTTTTTGCACTTGAAACATATTGATAAGCCCAAATGTTACATGTTTTATTAAGTTTTGGTGCTTAAATTAATTAATTGTGACTTAGAATTGAGGGAAAAAAGATGTATTGTCTCACTTATTGTCTTTATGTAAATTTCAAGAAAAGGAGCAAATAAGAGTGAAAAATGGATAAAAGAGTGAAGTCAGAACCTTATGCTCAATATGGTTCCAATAATCGTAGATTAGTTTCAATAGGATTGTGATTAGCCATGGAAGAAGATGGAGGGAGAGAGTTGTGCTTTTGTTTGACATTAGTCATAAATGAAATCAGTGTACTTCCCAACCATGACAAGGTGAAGTTTGTAACGTCCTGATTTTCTAATCCTACAATTAGCTATTAATTAGGGGTGGATTAACAATTAGTAAATGATTCAAAATTTGGATGGTTATTTGAAAATTTGACTCCTTTGGATGTTGAATGGACAGATACGGGAGGAGGAATTACATCTCGAAATGAAGTGTGTGCGCATGGTGAGAATCTTTCTTGCTGTGCTACATATCATGATTGATGCTGCTTGTGGCACAATGCATTGTACAGAAAATGACCTAAGAAGTTGTGATTTAGCTTAGATTTCAGAAGGGAGAAACATAAAAAATGTAAGGGGAGAAGTGAAGAAGTAGAGGTCTAATAAGGCAAGAAAGCTTGAGAGCTTGGAAGGCATTTCTCGACTGGTAACTTATCGGGTAAGCTCCATACAGCCCTTATCTCCAATTTCACTATAATTTCTTTTAGTATGAGTTATAGAGGAAATGAATCGAGAAGATTTAAAAAGTTTGTTTCTTACCCTATAGTAATAAAAAAGTTTTCAAGAGTTAAATTAGAGCTTCATAACTAATTTGGAGTTGAATGATAGAGTTTTGAACCTCTAAGCTCAATGCAACCCTAAATTAAAAGGAAATTAGGAGTGAAATTGTGTTTGTGCAAAATGGGATCATTTGATGTGATATAAAGTGATAATTGAGTGGTATTGAGATTAGATTGACTAAGTGAAAAGAAATGAATGGCTAGTTATGGCTTTAATTGATAATTAAGTATTTTTGGTCATTTGAATTAATTGACTAATAGTGTGCCAATTGTATGTAGATTGGCATATACTGTGAGTAAGTTGTGGTAAGAAGCTTGTTGAGAGCTATAATGGTAATTGAAAGTCCATGAATAACATTTCTAGTAACAGAAGGGTTAAGGTAATTGAATAACTTTCTCTGTTTGATCATTTATTATAACTGTGTGAAAGTAAGCTATTTAGTACATGAAACTATTTTAAATTGAGCATGCTTTGTGGCATGACATGGTTGTTGCATAAAAATGGATTTTAATCGAACAAACAAGTGAAAATGTGTGATTCTATACTCTATACATATATATTTGTATGTATGGTGGTGAATATGAATTTGTGATTGATACTAAAGCATGATCATAGGGGGTGGGAGTTCACCCATAGGGAGAAATAGAGAAAAACCATATGCCATTATTCTCCTTAATGCCCAATAGGGTGCGGTATTAGAGAATTGTATCTCCTTAGTACCTTTCGAGATGCGGTATTGGAGATTATCTCCTTAGTGTCTATTGATGTGTGATGTTGGAAATTTAAACTCCTTAGTATCAATGTGATGAGGTGTTGGAATCAATGACACCCTATTATATGTATTAGGGGAATCTATAATCTGAAGGTGAGATAAAATACCTTTGGTCGGATGATTCTATTATTGAAGGTGAGCTTAGGGTCAGTGAGTGTGTGCATTAGTCTAAGGTGAAAATATGGTTTTAGGTCGGGTTGATTCAGAGGTTCAAATGGTGTTGATCATGCTAAACATTATATTAGTGGTGAATTGTGTAATAAGTTGTGAAAGTGGTGAAAGTGCAGAGTTATTATATTCATATAATGTTTTGAGATGAAATTGATACTTAATATTATGTTTATTGTATTATAGTTGCATGTGATAGTCAATAGTAAAAAGTTATTCTATTATTAAGATTTTTATCTCACCCCAGTGATTATATTTTACAAGTCAAAGCAATGATCAAGGCAAGGAAAAAAGTCAGGACTGGCATAGTGGTGTCGTGGCTGTGTAATCTTCGAGCTTTATGTAATAAACATTATTTTTGTGTATCTTATATATAAGTTACCCTAAGAAATTGCATGCATGTTTAAACTTGTGATTTGTTGAGAATTGTAGTGATTTTATGAATCTTAGCCCATATATAAAAACGTGTGGTGAAATGAATAATTAGAGCTAAGATTTAGTTGTGAACATGTTGTAAATATGCTAGTGGTGATTATGAAGTGAATTTATGGTGATATTATAGTGAAAATGGCCAGAGAAATGTTTTTGTGCCAAGTTGTAAAAAGTTTGTGTTTGCAAAAATGAGCTGTTGAATGGCCAAATTGTGATTTATATGAATTTGTGCTATATAAAGTGGTCAATTAGGTGAATAAAGTCCTTTTAGACTTAGGTTAAGGCTTAAAATAGACTGATGAGATAATGTGAGAGATTTTAGCACTTAGGTGCGCAAAATTTTTTTAAAAAGCAATTTTTTACACCTGAAAGTCTAAATTTTGATCAGACTATTAAATCATATCCAATCATTAGTTAGCATCACATTGCAGTACATGATACAGAGAAGGTCAAGGCATATGGCTCTGTGCCACATGCTATAGCACATATGTTGCATGCCATGAAACGTGTCTCATAATTTGACCTTATTTCCTTATTTTAAAAGCACGCAATGATTGATATGAATGCATATGATTTGTTTTCACTATGCATGGCTCTGATATATTAAGATTTTGATATTTTGCAAAATAAGTCTTGGGCTTAAGCTTTTTAAACCAAATATTTAAATGCATAATTTGGTATGTATGAGTGGTGATTGTGTTAATCCTTTTCTATATCTAGTATATATAGGGAAAGGTTATAAAGCCATTACCAGAAGCTGATGTCTCTATCCCAAACTAGTCACGAAAGAGCTTAGTGTATCCAAAGCAGCTTGTGGAAGAATGGACCCAGGGAAAAGCTTTGCTCTTTGTTTAGATTCAATGCTTATGTCACTCACAGTTGGGAGGACCTTGAAGATACAAATAGAAGAATAGATCATTGGTCGCAGATAAGAAGGAAGGTGATAGAACACATTTGTTACCCACTTTTATTTGTCAATTAGGACCCTTTTATTAATGACTTATCACCTTCAAGTGCACACATTGCATTAGATTTGTAATTTTGCCAAGTTTCTAGGTTCAGTGCACTAGGAGCATTTTGGTCCAAAAAATGAATTTTTGAGAAAATGTACAAGAAAAATTGAGAAAGTGAATTTTATGTCTAGTTGATGAATGGTGAAATTATGTTTTTAAAATTCATTTTAGTTTGGGAGTAATTAAATAAAAAAGTCAACACTTTCTTAAGTGTCTTAATTTGTCCTAGTTTTTGGTTTGCCTTTGTGTGAAAATTTTTATATAATTTTGTGCAGCCTGAAACTTGGTTAATTTAATAAATTCTCTCTTCTAATTATGAATTTAATTCTGGACATGAATTAGATTTTATTATATCATATGCTATTTAATTGATTTATGTGATTTATGTGACATAGGTGGCATGTGACTTGTGCATCAATTGGGCAATTGAGGTCAACACTCCTTGAGGTCAATGGCTGATGGTTTGCACGTGAATTATGATTATTTTGAGGGATTAAATCAGCTAAAATGATGTGGATGACACATGAGAAATTAGGCACACATTGGAATCATCTACAAACCAATAGGAAGTTGCCACCTTGCAAGTGTGACAAGGCTCCCATTTACATTTTTAATTTCTTTTTCCTTATTTTAATTAAGCTTCAGCTGATGGGAGACACCAAGGAGCACACCATTTTAAGCCCTAAATGGGATCCAACACATATCTCATTCATCTTCCACATTCTCTCTCTCTTGTTCATAGTATTCTTCATTTTCTCTCTTTTGTTCTTCATTTTCCAGCACCCTAACCTCCATTTTCAGCCACCAAACCTCCACAAAACTCATACCATTCTTCTCCTCTCTTCATTTTCGTTCCATCCCTTCCATTTTCACAAGGATTGAAGCTCATTTCCATCATTCAAGAGCTATGGAATTTGGCCTTCACAAGCAATCACTAGGGTTCTTGAAGATGAAGATTGGCTAAGTTTCTTTGTGGAATCCTAGAGAGATGAAGATGGAGGATGAGTCTTGAGCTTCAAATTGGCTAAGTTCTTTTGTTTCCTATCCTCTTCTCTTTTACTAGATGGTTAGATTCCTTAATCTAGGGTTTAATCATCTTAGCTTATAAATTCTAATTTAAATTTGATGTTGATGTAAAGAGAGAGGATTGTTTCATTTAATTTCTTCCTTGGACAGCCATGACTGAATTTTGCCACTCTTTGTTTGGCACATAATCTTGTGTTTTTCAATTAGTGAATATCTTGTGTTAATATTGCATAATCTTGTGGTGTTAATGCTTGTGTTGTTGAGTAGCTTGACATAATCTTGTGGTTGCTCAATTTATGTGTTTCACCATGGCTGTTGAGAGAGGATTTTGAGTGAATCACTTGGCTAATGTCTTCACTAATTGGTTAATTGAACTAGGGACTTTAATCTAAGACCTAGGGAGGTTAGCTAATTAGGTTAATTGGCTTAGGATAATTTTCTTAAGTCATGACAGCTTTAGTCAAGAGGAAATGGAAGCTAAATTTAGCCTAATCATGAGAAGATAATGAGTCCAAAATCAACTAATCTCTAGGGTTCCATTATTGTGAAAAGGGAAGTTCATTTCACTCACTTTCACTAGCATTTTAATTACTTGCACATTAGGTAATTAGTTTAGATAATTAGCTAGGTAACTAAATTCCTACAAACTTTGGTTGATTTATTTCACTAGATAACTTTCAATTAGACTTAAAACCATTCCTTGGGAGATGACCTAGGGTTGGCCCTATATTGCTTTAGGATTAGCTTTAGTGTAATTTTGAGGATAAGCGACTAATTTCCTATCAGAAGGTCACTTGTCATTCACCTACAGAAGATGTAAAGGACAAGACGATGCTCATTGTTTCCTCTTGCATGAATGAGCTATAACGCAGTTCGACCACAAGTAAATATCACTTTAACACACGTGGCTAACATAAAAGTAAAATTAAAATGAATGATTCAATCATTTTAATGAGGAGAGGCATAATTGATAATTCTAAATGGGAGGGGTCACAAAGGGGAGTGGAAAAATTTTAAATAAAGCCCTAAGGTAGTACTTTATTTGAGCATCCAATTTTAACAATGATGATTTAGGAGTTGAATATGGACTCCGAGAGGAAGTCTTGTGATCTGGGAGCTGAACATCATCTCTCCCTTACTTTTATATATGATTAAGCTATTTTATTTGGGATTTTTATAGCTATGATTTCTTCTAGTTTCTAAGTTTCCAGTTAGGGTAGAGATTAGTCTACCTAGGATGAACTTACTCTTTACTCTCTTTCTTTATGATTGTTATTGAACTTGGTTTTTATATTTTATGAGAATTTAGTTACAATTATATTTATTTTCCTTGTTCTTGTTTCTAATTGTATGGCTAGCCACTATATGATTTGCTTGTGGGTTTGCTTGATGAACTGAAAGGAGAAGAGTGAACCTAATTTAAGGATTTATGGTAACTTTAATTGTCTCTTAATGATATAATTAGAGGTTGTGGGATTCAATAAAAGCTAATTAAACTCTATTTGAATATAAGCTAATGTATTGGAAAGTAATTTAGGCAGTTTAGTAACGATTGTCACTATAATTGAATAGGAATAATTAATTAAGAGTAAGTTATCCTAGCAGATGAATAGTAATCCCTAGCACTTTGTAATTAATTTGACAAGCTCATTTATTCATTGCCTTTGTTTTATTAATTCCATAGCTTTAATTAGTTTAATTAACCTCTTGATATTTGCTTGCTTGTGAAATAATAAAGATCACTAATTTTCTTTAGGTTCAACACCTAGAATACTTTAGAATTTTTATTGCTCCAATCCCATACACTTGTAAGAGCAATTAAATTTTTGGTGTTGTTGTCAGGAAAAGCATATAACTTTGTTGTTTTTTGTTTCTTTCCTTTATTTATTTATCGTGCTTTCTTATGCTTACTAGATGCTTCAAAATTTTAAGTGAGTTTGAATTGAACCCAATTAACTTTAAGATTGAACATTCCTATAGGAAAAATCATAAAGAGAAGTGGGAGAAATCTAAGATGGTTGAAGTCAACAACAACAACAATGACGACAATAACAATGCTCTTATTAGTAAGTGTTGCAAGACATCACAGTTCCTCACATTGTCTCAAGCCTATCCTTGAATAGATTAACTTCTCTTGCTCAGAATTGAGTTCAAAGCACTCTACCTGAATATCCTACCTTAATTTCATCAGGCTATATAGCTGAGGATGACTTATCTTTTAATAAGAGGTTTTATGCTATTGTTACCTTATTGCCTCTTAATGAATTGACTAAAGATGAATTCAAGATGAAGTGTTTCTCTCATTACTTAAATGACCATATGAGTAAGTAGTTGCTAAACTTGCCAAAGGATTCATTGACTACTCATGCAAAGGTATACAAGGCTTTCATGTCTCACTTTTATTTACTCCACTGAACTGAAGAAATAAGGGAGAAGATTTTTCATTTTTCCCAAATGCCTAGGGCATCATTTCATGAAGTATGGGAACATTTCGATACACTATTAAGACAATGTCCACACCATAATTTTACCCTAATAATGTTCATTGATAGTTTTTACAAGGAGGTATTTGTGGTGCATCAAACCCAAGTAGACACGATGGCCGACAGTTACGATGGCCAAACTATTACTAATTAAATAATAAATATTTGTGTGATGCTACTTAGAACTTAAGGCAAAAGTTAGATAGTCGATAGAGAGTTCAACCTCATAAGATAAGAGCTAGATTTATTGTGATTACCTAGTTAGAAGAACTACACATGAACGTTCATAACCTTGTTTCTCATACATTATTTCCATTTCCTCTTTTCTTGTTAATAATTCTAACTATGATCATGGTTATATGTTGGATTCTTATAATGAGCAAGTTGAAGAAGTATTTTTTTTAGGAGCCAACCAATACTGGTTCAACAATCAGGAGCAACCTTACAACCCATATGGCAACACATATAATAAGGGCTAGAAGGACAACCCTAACTTCTGTTAGAAAACTCATGAAGGCACCAAACCATTAGGCTTCAATCAACAACAAGAGAGACTACTTGTAGACTACTTGTACAAGTAGTCCATCCTTTACCATCCGACACGGACCCAAAGTTCTCCAAGCTAGAAAGGATATCTTTAAGTTGTGCACCACTTAGATGAATGCACATACTTACACCGAAACTATGGTAAAAAATATGGAAGCTCGACATTAGGCTACCCTTAAAAACTTAGAGACCTAAATTAACTAATTGTAAGTAGACTCTCTTTGATTGACTTTAGGGGAAATTTCTTAGCAACATAGAAATCAATCCTATTTAAAGGGTGATGATCATTATCCTACAGAGAAAAAAGGAATTGAAAAACTTAACTCCTCCTAAGATAGACAAGATGAAAGTCTCAAAGGTAGGAAAGGAAGATGATGCACTAAAAAGGGTTTGTGAGTACCTACAAGGAATTTTGCCATTTGGTTTGAAGCCTTTTGTGCCACCCATTTCCTCCAAACATGCTCTTAACAAAAGAAAATATGATGTTAATTTTTAGAAATTTCTTGATATGTTTAAAAAATTACATTTAAACATTCCTTTTACAGAAGCATTAGGAAAGACTCATCCTATGCTAAGTATTTGAAAGAGATAGTCTCAAATAAAAAGAGACTAGAAGAGTTTGTTACAATTGCTTTGATTAAGGAATGTAGCATAATCATTAAAAGGAAGCTCCTATCCAAGCTAAAAGATCTAGGGAGTTTCTTTGTTCCTTGCATTATTGGTGATCTTAATATTCATAAATGTTTATGTGATTTGGGTACTTCTATTAATTGTATGCCTATGTTTAGGGAGCTTGGGGATTATTGACTTAAAGCCAATTAATATCACCATAAAAATGATTGAATGATTCTGAAGTACCTTTAAGGAGTTGCGAAAGACTTATTAGTAAAAGTTAGTAAATTCTACACCCCTACTAATTTCTTAGTATTAGAATTAGAAGATGAGATAGATGACTCTCTTATCTTAGGTAGACCTTTTCTGCTTACTAGGGGTGCTTTACTTGATGTCCTTACAAATAAATTAATATTTAGGATTGGAAATGAGAGGGGAGAATTTTCATTAACTAAAGCTATTGAATTCCCAATTATAAAGGAGCCTTGTTTTTGTAATAATCTTATTGATAAACTAGCTTTCTGTCATTTTACTCAAATGACATACGTTGACTTTATTGAAGCATGCATTGCATTGAACATTAAAGAGTTAGATGCCAATTAAGAGCATTTAAAAAGCTTAATAAGACTTGAAGATGTCGATTATGTATAACAATAACCATAACAACAAGAAACCTTTATCCCACTAAGTAGGGTCGGCTACATGAATTACAAGATGTTATTGTGCTTTATCATTTACCAAGCTTTTAGAAATATTATTAATTAAGAAATTGCGTTCAATAACTTCTAAAAGTATTTTCTCAAGCCTTCCTCTACCTGTCTTAATAGAGCTTAAAGATATATATTCCACTCTTTTTACTGGTACCTCTCACAGTTTTTTTGGTACATGCCCAAACCATCTCAAACAAGTTTCTACCATTTTTTACTTAATAGGTGCTACCCTTACTTTTTTGCTTACATGCTCATTTCAAATTTTATCTTTATGTGTATATCTGCACATCCATCGTAACATTCTTATCTCTGCTACTCCAACTTTATGCTCTTACTGTCCTAGTAGAGCCCAGCATTCACTACTATATAACAGAGCTGGTCTGATAGCAGTATGATAAAACTTTCCTTTAAGTTTATTAGCCACCTTACGGTCACAAATAACTCCCTTGAATCCTATGTGAAATATCCCCATTAATTTTGCCATCATTTTGAATAAAGGCTCTCAAATATCTAAATTTTTTCACTTGAGGTATAATTTAATCTTCCAATTTTATTTTCAAATTATTGTCGACTAGTCTCTTATCAAATTTACAATATGAATATTCTGTCTTACTCCTATTCAGACGAAAACCTTTCAACTCTAATGTCCTTTGTACTGTCCACCTTGACATTACCAGGACAACACTCACACATCGTTGTGATAACTAGGATTATATAAAACCCTCTAAAGAAATTATCACAACTCAAGGGTTTAAAGATAATTAGTTTAAAATATTAGGATTCCAAGAAAACCCTTTTATTTTAAAATATTGTTTGAGCTCAAACCATGGTTAAAAATCGATTAAGAGCACATACAGAAGCATGGAAATCAATTCACTTCGAAACAGACTAAAATAAGCCTTTTAACCTTAATTTGGTCGGTCCCCGCCGCTATAAATGGCACAAATAGACGAATCCCTTAAGGGCATCTTGCGTCGCGGTGCAACAACCACGTGCCGCGGCGCGCACCTGCTGTCATGACAGTAAATGGCTCCTCTCCAAACTTCTGGAACGCATCGTTTCGCCATCCGACATCTGATTTGAGCGGTTCAAGTGTTCACACAAAGCTCTTTGAGCCTTCTAGCTAATGGCATTGGCCTCATACTCAAACAATCATCCATTTAAAAGATGGACACTCGAACCTAAAATGGTTTGTTTTCACAACAAAACACATACTATGGTGTCCAACTCACCATACACAATGCCATTAGCCTCAGATATAACTTGACCACCTCAAATGGACCACACACCACATAATAATTCAATTATAACACACAAATGAGTAATCACACTCAAAATGACCACCAAACTCCCGAATGACAAGAAAACAATAGGGTGAATAAAATTCAACATACAAATCAATTAGTCATTTTGACACTTAAACACTTGAAATATATATATATATATATATTGTAAATATAACTTGGCCAAGCACACACTTAATCCACAACATCAATCTTAGACCAAGATACACACACTTATTACAAATTCATGCAAGTGATATCCAAATAATGTTATGTTCTAAAGTTAGAAATATTTAGTGACAATATTTATTACAAAACTAAAAAGAGAAAGGGAAGAGCTATACTATAACGCTCTTCACTCTGCAGATGCTCCTTTCTTCCCCTTGCCTCTACCAGAGCCCTCGCCTGTAAAATATAACCATGGGATGAGATAAACATCTCAGTAACCAATATAGCTCATTGAATGTTTATTACTACAAATAACCATGAAAAAGTATCATAACTATAGTAATAACAAGTATACCATAATTATGAGATAAGTGTATCTTTTCATAATAAAACATATAGTTTCACACTAGTATGATCATCTAACCACCGAACTTTCATTGCTTCTAAACATGAAACCATAGGCTCTCCTGAATCAACCACTTGTTGACCCGAGCACACTTTCAGTGGTAGAAATACTTGGCCAAAGGTAATATAATCTGCCTACAGACTATGATTTTTCTTTCTTCACACACTTGTGATAGAGGCATCGTTGACTCCTAACTGCACCCTAACAAGTACTAAGGAGTTGCCAAACTGTCTGGATGACCCATGGTAACTGTCCTATATATTGTTGCACCAGATGACCTATGTATCAACCCGACCATGTGAATTTTTCACTCACACATCTCCACACACACATATCCCCACATATCTCGGATAAACTCCCACCCCCTATAATCATGCTCTTTCATAATTTTCACTACTTTACATCACATTTTCATATCGCAAACTTATATATATAGTATATACATTTTAATTAGAAACAATAACTACTTACAAAACACTTTTTCATGCTAGAAATTATTTACGATGCCAAATTATGCATAAAACTCTTCAAAACCACAACCTTGTCATTTGCAATTACTTCTACACAGTTATAATAGTTAATAACCACAATAAACTATATGGTTACCTCAACTTTTTGTCACATAAAAAGGGTTACCATGGCTCAACGTTAGCTCCACATGCTCTATACGCACAAAATAACTCAAGCAATGCTCAATCTACACCAATAAGTGACAATTGTCAATTATCACTTCAGATAATTCTAAATTCTCTAGGTTCTAAGTGCTTATAATACTCAAATTCCTTTTCTAACAACATCAACCATTCCTACACACTCTAACCATCCTATTAAACATTCTAACTCACCAAATTCACTAATCAATATCCCATATTATCTCAAAATCCTTAAATTACACTTAGGGTTCATTTAATCCCTTACCAAAAATTCTCAATCACCACAAAACTCATAAACTTAAGGTTAGAAGCTTAATTTAACTCCCCAAGATCTTAAATAAACTAATGGGTTTGGTCTAAACCCAAGGGAACCAAAATCAAAGCTCCCATTACTCCAAATGTTCAAATTTTTACATAAAAGAAGGAGACGAGAGAATGTACAACTTACCTAATGGTGATTCAAGCTCCAAATACTCTCAAAGTAGCCCAGGGATCGTGTCCTAGTAGACTATAAGCTCTCCTTCATTGCTCTCTCATTTTTCCTTCTTCTCTCTTATGTTTTCGGTCTGTTTCCATGATCTGATAAGTGCAGATTTTGCACGTACACCGCGGTGTGTCAACATGCCCACTACGACGCATGGCACAAAAAGTCCCACATTATTTTAAA